AACTGAACTCGCACGCTTCCACTCTTATTCCGCGTGCTGTCACGAGCAAGCGCATCATTAGACCATCCGGCATTACAAATGACGTCGAAGGGACTCCATGTGTTCTGTGTCTTCTTCCTTTATTCTACTCTGTAGATGTCGTGTAACATACATACTCACACACTCATACACACAAACATACTTACGTATATGTAGAAAGATATAGTATATAGTGTAGTCGTTTCTCTTGAGTTGCTCTCATCCTGAACGATCCGACAAAACGCGGCCCTTTAAGTGGATCGTTCGGGTGGATCGAAGGAGAAAAAGTCCTTAGACGAGTCATAAGCATTTATGAGTTTCTTACTGCGAAGCTAATAAGTTTAGGAAGATCGCCGTTTGCGACGACAGTAGGGCCCAGTAGGGTTCCCCTAGTCAACCTTTTCTTATTCCTTTACTTCGAAGAAGAGACCTTCCACCAAAGTCCCTATCAATATATATATTTGTACGTACGTACGTAACTACGACAGACTATACTTTTTTACTTATTTCTGCCACGTAAATGTGTATACATATATATATATATGTGTATTATATGCAATACATCGTCTTCGATATAAATCGCGGTAAGGTACTTTGTAAGAGCAAATTACGTGACAAAGATCCAAACGAGCTTTCTTCTGCGTAACTTTCAAGCTGTGGATAGTTAAACAATTAGCTAAGTTTTTAATCATTTATTTACTTAACGCGAAATCGGTACAATCGGAATCGAAGGATTTAGCTGAGTCGAGTTGATAAAAGTAAGTGAAATTAAGTGGCTCCTTTTATGGTATCTGAGTAATGTCATGACAAATGTTAGGGGAAATCGAATGAGCACGTTTGTTGGATTCATCGGATACGTCTCGAGGATTCTTGAAATTCTTTGATGCCATCGTATAGCACTATCTTGTTATTCTTCTTCTTATTTTTCTTGTACTTCTTTCTTTCTTCCTTCCTTTCTTCCTTCCTTCCTATCTTGAAATAAATTAAAGTGGTAGGAAAGAAGGAAGGAAGGAAAGAGAAAGGGTCGGAGCATTCATTCAGTATTTCCTACAACGATAAGAAAGAAAGAGATGTGGTTTTCCCTTTCCGTTGGTAACACGTACGATACATACAACAAAATCATGTTTAAAGTAATTTCTGCAAGAAAGTCTCCCTTCGAGAATCCTTCCTGCCTGCCGGTGGGCGAATGGCGTCAGGATGATTTAAATGAAACTGCACCTTTCTCTCTCTATCTATCTATATCTTTCTCTCTCTTTTTTTTCTTTCTCTTTCTCTCTCACTACAACGCTTCTTCTTTCTTCCTCTTTCCTCTAGTCTTCTCTTTCCGTATCTTTTTCTTTCTTTATCTTTACCCTTCTTCTTCTTCTTCTTTTTCTACCTCATCGTTCACCGAGCAATCGACTTTGACAGGAACAAGTAGCGCACGCTTCACGGTGGTCGCTTTGAGCCTCAAGAGATAAAAAGATGACTACGATGATGGCCAAAAAGGATGGAAAGAAATTACAAATATACTTCTGTTATTATTAAAAGAAAAAGAAAGAAAAAAAGAAAGAAAGAAAAAGAAAGAAAGAAAGAAATGATCCAAATGAAGTATACCACAATTTGAGTTAACATAACGTTTATGTCTTATTCGTTTTTATTTATTAATTTTTTGATTAACTTTTTTTAAAAAATATTTCACAATAATTATATCAATAATAAGGCAACCAAATTTTAATCATATTCTATTTTTATTTTATTTATATAAAAAATAATGTTTCTTTTTAATTATTTATTTTAATTATCAGATAAATAAGTTTCCTAAATAAAAAAATATATCCTTCATTCTTCATATTTTTCTTTATCTTTATTTATTTATCAAGATATTTTTTCATCGTTGAAAAAAAGGTTGGAACAAAAGTTTGACGTTCTTATTAATAATATATTTGACCTTTTCCAAAGAAGAAAAAGAAAAAGAGTAAGAAGATTAATTCGAGCGCGGACGCGTTCAGAAAGAAAAATAAAGAAAAATAAAGTAAGAATAATGAAAGTAGAGAGAATGAAGAGCTAAAGTAGAGTTAATGAAGCAGGCGATTCTATTATCAGTTGGTTAGAGTGAGATCACGAGTCAGTATCGACAACGGTGCTGAGATAATATCGCTTTACGATCTACCTCTCCATCTGGTAAGCACTTAGTCGATCCTAGATACGAACCAGATAGTATCGAATAATCGGGACGAGGAGGTACGAGCAACTCGGATAGGAAATCTCAGGAACTTAGAAAAGCCGGCCAGCCGGTGTGATGAATCTCATGAGATCGAAATCATACTGATCTATCGTATATATATCGGATAAGATCTTGAAGATATATTTTTGAGAAAATCGGAGTACACAAAGTGTACCACGTAACTTGTTACGTGTCAATACTTCACCAACCTATCAATCTAAATCACAGGAATGATGAGTTATTTAAACTACGGGTTAATTTAAGATTGAATTTTCGAGATAAATTGACTTATAACTACTTACCTCCAAACATTCTTTATACTTGGATTGAACTATTTGGTATACTAAGATAATAAACTTGTAATACATTAATCGTGTCCAGGTAGACTGATAATTTTACATCCTTGTAAAATAGTCATAAGTATTATTGTTCAACGATAAGCTTAATCTCAAAATAAAAAAATAAAAAACTAAAAAAGGAATAAAATTTGTAAAACAAATACAAAATAAATTGTACACTTAACACAATCGTGATAATAAAAAATTAATTATAATATTAGGTGAAAAAATGAAAATATATATACATATACATATGTACATACTAGACAAAGAAATAGAGTATGGTAAAAGATGTAAAGGAATAGTAGGAGAAGTTGGAGGTGGTGGTGTGATTGTGGTGGGGTAATGGAAAGCAAGGAAAGGCAAGGTAAAGGCAAGGTAAAAGCAAGGTAATGCAGAGAGGCGAGTTACGGGGACGAGGATAGCGCAAAGGCGCATTGGCAAAGCATGCTAAGGCAACGGGTCCAAAGTCGTGGAGTCGTGGTAAGGCTCTCTCTGCTGGCACGTTAACCTCCCGCATGGACGCAGTACGCTCTCGACTCTCGCGCAGGCTAGATTGCACCAATCCCGGTCCTTGATTCGCCGACCACGTGCGACTCCGTCGTGCGTCTCTTTATTTACCAACTTATATAGTTACCCTCTTTTTGTATTGAAAAAAACTTTTATTCTGATAACTATTTTCTTTCGTTTTTTTTTGTAATTTTTTTTTAAGGAAATTTTTTTTTTCAATACTCATCAATGAATCAAACAGAGTGAACTTAACGAGATGGACGTTTAAAAAGTTTAGAATTGTTTAGATTTCTTTTTAGATAGTAGACAACTGTGAGTAATTTTGTTTCTATCGTCATTTTGAAAATGACCAAAGTTCGATTCGACGAATGATCGATAACAATAACAATCGGATTTTACTGTTGAATCATCATTGAGGAAGTTTCGTGGAACATCCCGTTAGTAGTACACGAAAGTAATCTACAAAGTTGCTATTCCCACGGATCGAAGAGAGAGAGAGGAGCGAGCGAGGAAATCGAGAATCGATCTGTAGCTTGTATAAATGTTCTCCTAGGAAAGAACGATCGAGAGACACGAAGTAGAAGTAGAAGAAGAAGAATAAGAAGAAGAAACTTAGGTGGAGTCGTTCCGGTTTCAGGTGGCGACCAACGATGAAATCGAAGGTACATCGAATGGATTCGAAATGGTCACGCCAGCTTGCGTCTTCGAGCGTGATACCGAGGTACCAGAATAGAAAAAGATGAAGGACCATTGTCCTTTCTCACGACACTTCGAGTTAGAAAAAGAATTATTTAAAAATTTGTTACTTCGAGAAAAGCAAAAATATACCCAGAGAAATGAAAGAAAGAGACAACAACATATTTAGCATTTGAGTGAGATACATTAATGAGAAAGATTTAATTAAATTTATATTAAATTAATGAAAATAAAATATATATTCGTGAATGAAGAAATAAAGGAAGGGGGATCCAACTCAAAGACCACCATAAATGGTTACCGTAGTTACGAAGGTGACAGAGAAAGAGACAGAGAGAGTCGCGTGGGAGGTCGAGTCTCAAACGAGACCTTTTTTACGAGCAACCAAGAAGACAGATTCTTCGTGCTTGTTTTCATACACGAGATAGAATGAGAAAGAGAGAGGAAAGTACGAACGACCGTTTAGGCAAGTATAGGATAAGTCGTCTTTTACTCGTTACCTCGTCCCTAACCAGGTGTCCTGCGACCCTCCCTTTTGAACGAAAAAGGATCACAACGTATTCCAAGAAGAGAAACCGAGGTCGCGACTCTGAAAAAAGCTGTGAGCCTGTTGTGGATCGACGAGAATACGCGGGGTGTTTAGGAGGTGACGTTACAACAACGTTTTCTACGTTCTTTCTTACTTTCGCATCATCACCTTCGTTAACTTTGAAATATTCCAGAGAAGTGCAAGACCCGAAGAGTACGTGACGAAGTTTTGTTCCAAGTTCTTGAATTCTTTGTTCAAGTTCTTCGAGAGAAAATCTCTCTCTCTCTCTCTATCTATCTAATAATAGAAAGTGAATTGAAAATTCTGATAGGAAAGACTTGATATTTATATTTCTAAATCGAGTCACGTGCTACAACCACTAATTGTGATTACATTCTAAACTGTCAAACGTGATCGATTAGATCGTTTTATTCGAGAACAAATCAACGACCATCATGATATATGAACGGTAAAAATAAAAAAGAGGAGTACAACTGAGACCTTTTGATTTTTTATAAATAGCATTCGTTATTTAGTGATACGAGTATTAGAAAATTAAATGTTGATAAGATCGAAAGATGGTACGAAAATTCTCGAAATCTTGACGATCGATTATTATTATCGTCGAACAAATACAACAACAACAACAACGACGACAACCGACGAATCTAGGAAGACAAGAAAAGAGGGGGAAAATAATAAGATGCTGGTAGCCTGTACGAAGAGAGCGTGCAGAGCTGGCCTGGTTGCAGTCTTGGTCACCGCACTGTGCGTCCTCACTCTTCTCGATTCGCCGCCAAGACTCCCGGATCCTCCAGCAGATCCTCCTCCCACGCCTGGTAAGCAATTTTCTCCCTCACCATGCGCGCTGCACCTACCACCACCATCACCACCAACACGCCACTAACACTAACACAATCATCACTAATACCAACTACATTTACCAACCATCGTCAACGTCGTCGTCGTCGTCGTCGTCGTCGTCGTCGTCGTCGCGAGCTAGCCGCGAGTTAGTCACGACCTTTGCCCTTTCGTTATCGCCGAACGGGTTCGCAACCTCGGGGAAGTAGCGTACCTTCGGACCCTTAACTCTATTCTCCTAGACTATTTCCATTTCTTCTTCTTAAGGGTCAATGAATTCGAATTATTTATACTTTCTATTGTTCGTTATCTTTTTCTTTTCTTCACAATTTGTTTTTTCAACGGTTCTACTTTTTTTCTTTTTTTTTCTTTTAATAGTTACTACATAAACTTCATTTATATTTTAATATTGTAATATGATTTTAATAGTTTTTTTACTTCTTTTATTGGCCATGGAATCACTGTTTTTATTTCCTCGAATTATTAATAATTAATTTTATAATTCTTTCATTTTAGAAAAGAAAAAAAGTATAATCTAACTTGCTAATTTCTTCGAATCATTAATTTTTTATTTTAAAACAGGTTCGGCTAGTTGAAAAAAGATCATAAATTCGTTTCGATCTATAAATTTAAGAAACGCGTTGGGAAGAAAAGATAAAAAAAAAAGCGAAGCAAACGTCCCTCTATTTAAGTGTTCGTTCAGCAGGTAGAAAGATCGTGAGTGTTTCTTACTCGCGAATAGTTTCTCAGGATTCACGACTATCCGGTCGGTAGAAGCAAGTAACTAAGGAAGGAAGAAAGGAACGGAAAGGAAAGGAAAGGAAAGAAAGGAAGGAAGGGAAATTTCTCGAGCTTTTTTCCTTTACCACTCGGCACGATCCTATCTTCTCTTTCCTTTCGTACGAATGGTTATTGTTCGTTTTCAAAGCTTTAAAGTATCGATCGAAGTTTCCACCTAGGGCGATCATAAATCCCAACGATCAAATTGTCTACAAATGGAAAAGGTGATAAAGACGATTCAAGAGAAGTAAATAAGAAAAAAAACACGCACGCACGTACGCGTGTGCCAAGAGCAGCTAACAAAAAAGAAAATGAAAAGATAAATAAAATGAAGAAGAAGAAGAAAGAAAAAAGCAGAAATTGTAAGAAAAGAAGTTGAGGAGTGTCTCAAACGAATAAAAAAAATGCAAGACGCATATAAATCTCTGGACGTGTCTCATTTTTCGTAGCAAGCGACTTCATTAGACGAAATAATTTATGACAATATATATTTCTGAGTTATCTCAGTCAGCGTTGGACCGCCCGTCGATCGTGTTGTTATTATTCTTGCTAAATTATGAGGAACGATTTCGCTACGATAATTTTGGCCAGTTTCTTCGAACGAGTCAGAGTACTTACGGAGTACTTCTCGTAGTTAGAGAGAGAGTGCCTTCTCGTAAAACTCATACATACTAACAAAACACGTATATTCATACATAAGAGAGGACTACACGTACACGTACACGTAACACGTTCGTACGTACTCAAAGGCACACCTTTGCTAGACACGATGCAGCAGAAGGAAAGGGTAATCGCAAAAGGGCACGACTGAGGATCACACTCTCAGCAGGCAACACCAGCCATAATATACCGTCTCGTTCCTCTCCTTTTCCTTACGTTGGGTCAATCGTTGGCCGCGCAAACTTTCTTTTTCTCTTCTTTAAATAAAAGAAAAAAAAAAAAATAACAAGTACCGACAAAAAAAGGAAGAGCTTCGGTTTACGTTCGACGAACGAAGTGGAGAGTGTAAAAGAGTAAACGAGTCTGCTGCCAGCGTATGCAAACGTTTGCCATTAACGATCGCGATAACGAAAGCGGATGTAGAAAGAAAGAGAGAGAGAGAGTGAGAAAGAAAGAAAAAGTCGATGACATTCACGATCCACATTCCCATCGACGTGAATGTACGATGATCAAGAATGAAAGTAGTTATCAAAGAGAGAGAGAGAGAGAGAGAGAAAGATACCTGTTGCTCGATATCGTTATGAAAATTTATCGATGATCATCGATTTCTCCCTCCCCCACTTTTCCTTCCCTCCCACTTGCCCTCATCCCTCAGTTATTTCTTTAGCGACCGAGAACGGAAGATTATGACTAGATGTGAAAGATAGGATGGCGCTCTAACGCGTTAGGATATCGATTCATTCTCGATTTACAAACGAGTTCAATAAAGAACCGGTGTACAACAACCTATGTCGAGAAAAGTGTTCGCAAGACTCATGTGATGGATAGAGAAACATGGGATAGATTAATAGACAAAGTAAGAGAGAGTGAGAGAGTGATAGTGAGAAAATGAAAGAGAATGGAGATGATAAAAAAAAATAAGAAGAAGATTAAAAAGGAATGAGAAAAACGATGATCCTTTTTCACCCCTTTTATTCTCAATCGAGAGCACGCACGCTATTAAGATTCAATTGGGAGATTAAAGCAATCAGAATTCTATTCAAGCAACGTCATTTCTAATTCGATCGATCTTCATTAATAAAATTTAGGAGACAATCATTTTGTAATTGTCTAGACGTTATTATACTTTTATATAGTTTTTTTTTTTTTTTCTTAGAAATATATAGAATAATATTTGATAAAAGAGAGAGAGAGAGAGAGAGAGAGAATATATATTTTATATTAGATTCTTTATATTAATTTATCATAATTATACGAAGTGTATATTATAAATGGTAAAATATATAAAATAATAATATATAGGAATTGTACGTTAAAATATTAATTATTGATTTATCGGATGATCGTACAATAAATATTTCAAAAATTTATGACATAGATTAATATTGCTTTATATTTTATTTTGTGGAAGTTTGAATAAAAGTAGAATTTATTCGTAGCGTGTAGGACGTATCCGTTGAGTGGTAACACGTCACTTCCGTCCACCCATTGAATCACAATGTTTTCCGCAACGTGTCTAGAAACGTACGTAATCTCTCGCGTGTCCGATAATGGGAAACGCGTGAAGCCGGAACGAACGAGGTGTTTCGCAACTATCTTTCTCTTTATCTATCTCTTTCTCTCTTCCATTCTCTTACTATCTTTCTCTCTTATCGTTCAGAGTACTTGTACCATCATCACAATTTCAACGTGTCGGACATTACATCTTTAGCGAGCTTCAAGCGACAAAATTTTTCTAGATAATTACGATTACGAGAAGTCGTATATTCGATTCTTACAACGATTATTCCAATCGTTTTACGGTTCATAAATGACTATGTCTAATCAATAAGCCGTGACGTTGCATTAAGTATAATGGTAATGTTTCTATCGGCTAGTGAACAATAATTGTTTAGTATTAATAAATCAATATTTATCATCAATTGTCATTACTGTCAAACAATTGCAAACGAATAAAAATTATTTATCGAACAACAACCCTATCCATCGAACAAACCAATAAATAAATCGTCTATGTTCAATCAAAACTTCTTTTTTTATTACACTTTCACCTTTTTCCATGACATAAAAAATCTTGTTTTTTCTTTAATTTATTAATCATCTAATAATCCATAGAAATCATTAATAATAGTATGTAAAAGTATTCACAAAGAACATACTTTTCCTGTTAAATATTTGACGAGCAATAGACAAGATTAACATAAATCACATCGTTCTATTTGAACATATTAACATATTATCTTTTTTTTTTCTCTTTTACATTTCCTTATATTATTTGATTATTCTACATGTTTAAGGTGGCGAACCACCAGGTACAAGAAGCATCGTGGCGTATTCGTGGGCGCGAAGATTGGCACTCGATTACAGAGCTTCGAAGGAGTGCGACGGTGCTAATGGAAGGAATGAAACGACTTTAGAAATGGCGTTGGAAAGGACTTTGGACGCGTTCGAGTTAACCGCTATAAGGTGGCTTGAAACGATTCCTCGACGTCTCTTCCTCTATAGCGGCCACTTGGATCTCAGAGTGGCCGGTTATCCAAGTCTTCGAGTGATCGCCGTCAAGCATGGACCTCTACCGACCTCTTCCCTCTTCTGCACCGTTTGGTGAGCTACTTTTCCTTCGCCAACTTACCACTACTACTACTACTTACTCTAACGGAATGAGAAAGAAAAGAAAAGAAAAAGATGGCTAACCCTTCTTCATCATCTTCTTCTTATTATTCTTCTTATTCTTATTTTTATTCTTATTCTTATTTTCTTATTCGTCTTCTTTTTTTCTTCTTCTTTTTCTTCTTCTTCTTCTTCTTCTTCTTATTCTTTATCACCTTCTTTCCGTGAGCCGAAGCAATACGAGAAACAAATCGATAGACTGGAAACTTGAATTTATTTCTTCTATCAAGCCAGTTAATTATTTCATTTACATAATAGCATTGAAATCGATCGATCTTATACGTCTATTTTATAATTTCCTTTTTATTATTAGATTTCTTGGAAATGATTTTTCAAACGACAAAGTCACGATATAATATCTTGAATTTATTATTCTAGAATAAATATAAATATATATAATATATCGGGTCTCGAGGAACAAGTTTCTTAGTATTTTTATGGAAACGGCAGTGAAATCAATTTTTTTGCGTATTTTTTATCGAGTGATCCTCTCATCAAATGTTTTTTTTTTTTTAACCAGACTGAGTAGCATGAACAAATATAGCAAATATTTTTTTTTTGTTAATAATTCTACGATAGGTCAACTTATAAACGCACGCAAATATTCTTGAATCCAATTAACATTAACACAGTTATAAGATCCTGAAGTCATTCATATAAAAAATACGAAGATATTTTTTCCCCGGCCCAATATATATATATATATATATATATATATATATATATATGTATCTTTTAATATAGACGATAATTAAATGTAAATTAAATATATTTAATTATTTATCATCGATGTTAATTTTCTCATTAGACATAACTTATCCAGGTATATCTTGACTACCCCCTCTCTTCTTTCTCTTTATCTCTCTCTCTCTCTTATGTTATATTATATCTAACCACTAACTACAACTGTACCGAAGTGAAATGAATGAAGTTTAATCTAGTTTGTTTGTTTGTTTGTTTGTTTGTTTCTACGATATAGGTACGAGGAAGAGCAAGGAAGGATACGCAGTTATAGCATGGAGGCTCTAGTTTCGCCGATATGGTTGGAAGAGTGGGGTGAAGAGACAGACAGTTACACGGGAATTCTAGTGTCCTGTCAGTTACCGTCGTTAGAAGGATCAACGGCGTATCCTTTGCGAGTTTACGTCGGTTCTACGTCCTGCTACGAAAATCCTAGTCATAGTTTAGCCATATTTAGGGACAACGTAACAGATAATAACGATGACGACAACTATGAAAACGATAGTTCGACGAATAATTCCAAGAGATTCACATTATGCATCAAGGGTCTCGATTTCGACGAAGATATTTCGGAAAAATTAGTGGCATTCGTTGAATTGCATAGAATCTTAGGTGCTGGATTATTTTATTTCTACGTTTTTGACGTTCACGAAAATGTATTAAAAGTATTGAGACTTTACGAAAGATCTAACGTAGTACGGTGGTTCGATCTTACATTACCAGGTGATTTACCCAAGGATAAAAAGAATAGAAGAGAATTTTTCGATCAGGATATTTGGACCAAGAGAAGAATGGAATTGATACCGTACAATCATTGTTTCTACGAGAACCTACATAGGTCGGAATTTGTGGTACCAATAGACGTGGACGAGGCTATCGTACCAATTAAAAGAAAAAGTTGGCACGGTTTGATCTCGGACGAGCGTAGAAAACTCGGTGAAAGTTTCGAAGAGTTTGCCTCTTACTCCGTTAGAAACGTATACTTTTTCCCGGAGTTGCAGAACAAAAGTAAATCCGTGAGTTTCGTCGATAATCCAGATTATCTGGACACAATTAGGACTTCGAACGTTTCACCGGAAGGTGATTCGGTAAAGAGTTTTGTTTCGACTAGGCGTGCATTAACCGTGCACAATCATTATGCTTTAAGCACGTTGAATCCAAGTACGAGAAGGGCTCATCACGTGGATCCTAATGACGCCTTGAAGCATCATCATCGTGCATGCGACAGCAGACATCTCGATTGCGATCTTCTTATGGATGACGTTCAAATAGACGTATCTGCTCTGCGTTATGCGAACGAGCTCAAGGCTAGAATGAAAGTCACTTTGAACGACTTGAATGGCCATCTCGATTAATAAATAAATTCGTTACGGTGATAATATCAAAAAGATATTATTATATGACGATCATTCTCCATCCTTATGAATCTGTGATACTTCATTTGAAACCTATAAGCATAAAAATGAAAGAGATAAAGAAATAGAAATAAGTATAACATCGATCATAATCCATGTGCATGATCGACGTTTTCAACAATCATTTCTTTCACCTATCATTTTCTTGTTCTCTCTTTTTATTTCTTTTCTTTACTTTCCAAGTGTTTTAATAGCAAATGTTACTTTAATTAGTTCACTCTTAAGTAAGTAATTATACTAACCTAAAAAAAGAAAATGAGTAGGTTCTATTGACAAAGAACATGCATAAAATAAAGATCGAGCTTTTAAAGATAGAACCAACAGCATCAATCAAATGAAAATCGAGTGGTACCATTACCAACCTTTTTTTTTGCCTGTTATCCCTCTCTCTCTCTTTCTTTTTTTCTTTTTCCCTCTATCATTCTTCGTATAATTTTTTTATTTGCGGTCATTTTTTTTTCTCCTTAGTTCTCCACCCCTTTCATTATTTCTTCCGTTCACTCGATATGGCTCATCGATTTTCTCAATATATCGTTTATCTTTCCTTACACAGAATTCCCAACAAAAGGATAATAAAAATAAAGTTAAGAGAAAAGGAGTAACGAAGGGTACGGTCTCGCGAAAAGTTCGATCCTAACTTTCTACTTGAACTCGATTTCACTATCCTACTCTTTCCTAAACTTGTCATAAATTTAAAGAAAAGTATGTATGCATGTAGATCCGGAAGGATAAGTTCACTTCGGCCGAAAGATATTCATACTCTCTCCTATAGATACATTTATGGCTACAGGATGTTTCAAAAAATTTCTCCTTAAAAATCACAAACTCCTATTTATAAAGAAAAAAATAAATAAATTAAATTTATTAACACATATCGAGTCGACTATTTAATTATAAACAAATTCATTTTAAAACAATATTTATGAAATTGCAATTGTTGTATTTTTAAGAGTCAAAAAAAAGGGAAGGATATATTTAAATTACAAAACTTGGAAAATAAAATGTGTTTAGATTCACGTTTATAAGAACATTTTCTTTTTATTATTTTTAATATAGGATTATAAAACTGGAAGAAGTTTAGTAGAAATTTTTATGTAACATCCTGTATATAAAAATATATGTTGATCATCGTGTACACGTGTATGTATATAAAAGTACGATATCTTTTCTCGAAGAGTCGCTTCATCGATTCTTCAATGTCCGGCCATCCAAGTTTTGTATTCGAGTTAAATAGATTCCGCGAGAAAATGCATAGAAAATCTTTTTCCGTGAAGATCTTATACTATCTTTGGTATATCTATGATGATCTATATGAAATAAAATATACCTATTGTACGTCAAAACAGAAAAAAAAAAAAGATAATATTACAAAAGTGTACATAAAAGTGATAAGAAAGAAAAAAAAAAAGAAATTAGAAAAACAAATAACACTAAATTATTCCCTGTTCTTTACTCAGAGTTTTTCGTTCTATTTCTTTTCTTTTTTTTTTTTTTTTATTATGTGCTAAGAAAGAAGCTGGTTTTTTTGTAATTTCAAGAAAGGTTCGAGAAGAGGTGAGTTAAAGTCATGGCCTCTTTCGTAAGGTAAGAACTATTGACCTTTACGCATCAAGATCGTCCTAGTTTCTTACTTCCTTTGTAATAATAAGAACGGATAACATATCGTCGTCTAATCGTGGACTCGTGTTCAAAGGACAACAAGCTATATTATTTTCTCTCTTTCTCATTTTCTACGTCTTTTTTTTTTTTGTTCTTTTTCTTTAGCAAACAATTCCAGTTACACACGCAAACGAATGAACTTAGAAGAGTTTCACTTGTGAGACCTGCATGCGGAGACGCAGTTTAGAGTTTTTCACCGAGTTTGCGATACGATATATTCTCACAAGGAACCGTTTAGATAAGTGTCTTAATTTCAGAGAGAAAAAGAGAGAAAGAAAAAGAGAGAGAGAGAGAGAGAATCATGTGTTCAATGTAGAAAGGTATACTGGTGCGTCGTGTGTCAACCCAACTAACCGGAAATAATTGAAACGTTCTACCCTCATTCCTCTTAACGAGAATCCCGTTTTAATTTCTTTCGTAAATCTATCTATCTTTGATTAGGTATATTACTCTTCAAATTTAGGTCATAAAACCACATCTAACTCGTGTTACGACTTTTTAATGGTTTTCTTTTCAAATTTATATTCAAACTTTCAACAAAAATATATAAATTGAATATTCCAATAAAAGAAAAAATATATAAGTTAGTTTTGTCAGGATTGTGTAATAAGAAAATATTTTATATATTCCTAGGATATATAAAAGTAATGTATGATACACTTATTTATCATACTTATACGAAGTAGAACGCCAAGAAGAAGATGATTGAAAAATATCGTAAAAAGGATAGATGCTCTGGGTTACTAGAAACAATATTCTTGGTTAAAGTAGGAAGAAACGTAACCAAAGCTTTTGATCACGGAAAAAAAAGTTTTATTATTTCTTTAATCTTTCTATTTCTTTCTCGTTCTGTTTTGCTCATCGTTAGCATACGCAACTGCGAACAGCCGCGAATAGACCAACGTCAAAGCAACAATTTTTATAGCCCGTTAAACCCAACCGAGCCAAGTCCCGTCGTGAGCTCTCCCTTAATTGGACGACCGGAGCGTCATAGCGAATAACTCGAGATCTTCGTCGTCTCCTTCTTCTTCTTCTTCTTCTTCTTCTTCTTCTTCTTCTTCTTCTTCTTCTTCTTCTTCTTCTTCTTCTTCTTCGTCGTATTCTTCATTTTCGTTTGTTGTTGTGCATCACTGAAGGAGGAGGATGTATTAGCCAAAGGGTAAAAGGAAAGTACCAGACCAGATTATCGTTCTAAATCATCTATGATTTAAGATAGTATTCGTTCACTGAATTTAACAGCCATAACATTTTCTCTCTTTCTCTTTCCCTCCTTCTCTCTCTTTTTGTTTTTTGATATTTTTTTTAAAGTCGTTTGTATTTATTTAACTCACACATCTCATTTCTTCGATTACATTTCTTGTTTTTCTTTCTTTCGTTTATTTTGATCCTTCTGTCATTCTCAAAAAATTATCTTTTTTTTTTTTCATTTTTTTTCTGTTTTCATAGCGTGGATTTAATAGCGAGATAAATAATGTAGAGAGTTTTTTAAAGAGAGAAAGAGGAAGGAACGTAACGTGTCCACGGCATTCTCGGTTGCCTAAATTTACTGTTAGCTTCGGCACCAAGCGGATGCATATTTCCACCCGCGAAATCGTTAACACCCGCCCCGTGCGAACTCGCCCTCGTTTCCGCTCGTAACTGTCGACTATGGAATTCGACTCGAATATTCGTAATAATAATTATGTTGTTTCCCTAATAACGTTTGCCACGTTGACGTACGCGCTTCGTTTCGTTTCTCACCTTTCCGAATTTATATTTTTATTTTTTTTTTTTATTTCCTTAACAAACTTTCTTAGGAAAGAGGAAAGAAACACAATCGATTTGATTTAATCGCAAAAAAGGGGACGGGGGGTAAAAAATCACCCGTAATAATAATACACGCACGTATAAATTGAAATAGGAAAATATTTATTTAAGATTTTATTCGAATTATTTCATGATAATCATATGATCAATGATTTAATTTAAATTTATTATTTCGTTTGATAATTAAATTTTTAATTAAATATGGAAAAGATACTAAATAATAGAAAGATATTTATTTTTTCTTGTCAAATCTGTGTATATATTAATACAAATGGTGTTTACTTTTTTAAAAATGCAAATCGTTTGAACGTAAAAAGAATCTAATTTGTTGCCACGTGGGTTCATTCATAAAAGAAAGGGTCCAACCCCTCGGTGAAAAGAACAATCCGTACCTTGTAGAGAAATTTATTGGCCCTTGAAGCAACTCTGGGGCTTCTTCGAATCGAAGTACGGTAGACGGATAATCGGCTTTACGTGACTCGTGTCGTAGGTCAGTTACAACGGGAGAAATTTCGAGTCGAGTATTATCTTTAAACCTTTTTTAATTCGATCGTTTAAAACGAATTATTATACAACATGCTCGTTACGTATTTAAAAAAAAATATACGAAAATAAAATTATACAATAATTGACGTTAAAAATAGAAAGAAAGAAAAACAAATAAACCAGTGGGTTATTATTTTTTTTTAATTAACTTAAACACGAATAATTGCACTTAGCTTAAAAACAAATGCAAATTCTTGTAAACGATATCAAAGAACACGAAGACGATCTAAAATCAGCCGAAAAAATCGTGCAAACATTTCTCCGTGGTGGTATTCGTCGCATTTGCAGGGATTATTCCAGACAGCAATAAATCTTATTAGTCTTTACGCGTTTCTCTTCTGCATTCGAATTTCGAGCCAATTTAATTGATGCTAAAATAAATTTCAACGTTAAATCAACACGTTATATTTTGGATAAACAATCTCCTATCGATTTTTAAATTTCAATAATCGAAACCAAATGGTAAAAAGAAGAACTTAAATCGTTACTTTTCTTGTTATATATAGCGCTGAATGAACAAATTAATTATTGAATTAAATAAATAAAATAAAAATATATCACTAAATGGAGCTTTTTTAAAATGAAAGACACAGTGGTAGGTTCTGTAACTTTGTCGAATATTCGTAAGCATGCGCTTACCATCGTCGAATCAGAAAGAGAGAGTGAGAAAGAGAGTGAAAGAGAGGGGTTGATCGTAAGTGAGCAGCACGTGCGTAGCAGTCATCCTGGCGCACTCGCCAGGACCAGTTCTTCCCTCTGCCAATTCAACTCGAACTTTCCCTTTTTCTTCTTCAATTCTCTCCACCCCATTGATACTTTGACCAGATAGTTTCTATCACAAATATTAGGTCAAACATTTTTCTTCTCAACCATTTAGCGTATTTTCTTTTTTCTTTCTACCCCCTCAACTCAACATTAATCTCCTTCAAATAGACAAAAAAAAACAAAAACTCGAACAACAATAACAACAGTGTTTAAAAACGTGTCAAATAAAAAGAAAATCAAAATTTAAAAGAAAAAAAAAAAAAGAATAAAAATATACAAAAAGAAAAGATGTTATCCTCGGAGTGTGCGAACATTATCGCGTACGTTTGTAATAAAAAATATGTTATGGTAAAGGAATTAAAAGTTGTTTATAGATTATTATCACAAATTGTCGTATGG